CCGGCCGGGAGCCCGGGCCCCGGGAGTGGCCGTGAGGGCCAACCCGGGAGGCGGAGGGGCCTGAGTCTCCCAACTCGGGGGTCTGCGGTCGCCCTGGGCCCAGCGCGCCTCGAGGTCCCCGGTGGCGAGGGCACAGCCGTCCGCGCGCGGAGTCGACCCGGGGCCGCCCGCCCCAGGCCCCGGCGGTCAGGACCCTGGTGTGCGGAGCCGCGTGGCGCGGTGTCGAGAGTGGCCAGTACAGGCTCGACGAGGGCATCAGGCCCGCGTGAATGTTTGGTGCTCAGGACCGACGACTTTAAAGCTTTTCCTAACCCAAACTGTAGAGAATGTGTTTACATTCAGTATGAAAAAGCCCCCTTACCCGTCAGACCGAATCACTGCATAGCCACTTGTGTGCTGACCTACAACACGCGTCCCACAACTAAACCGTATTGTTTGCATGATTTCATTACCACAAGCGCGAAGCTCTGGATTTTTGCCTCCCTGAGTTGTAGTTCCCACCTACAGGTGCTTTAGCTCTTAATGATCAGTCAGTCGGTTGGTTAGTTCAGGGGTCCCCGACCCCTGGCACGGAGGGTGCCAGCTGTGACCCGGCTCAGCAGGAGGGACTCCGTCTGCAGTGGGTTCCCGGTGGCTGGCTGCAGCCCAGCTGCCACCTCCTGTGGACCGCCTTGGGCACCAGACTCTTCCGTCTACTTGCAGGAAAACAAGCTCAGGGCTCTCACTGATTCTGCAAGATGGTGAGTTTTATCATTATTCGTTATGTATTAGTGTAATAATAGTGGGCAGAAAGTGCAGATTGAATACAATGTCCTTGAACTGTCCCTGAACATCCGTATCCCATCCTTCCACACAGCCAAAAAGGTTGGGGACCGCAGAGTTCATTGAAGAGGCCATAAGGCAGTCCAGCCTGGGAGCACCCACACCACCCCAGAGGACAGGTTGGAATAGCCCAGGAAGCCATCAGTACCTGTTTTCTGACCCATTTTGTGTTTCCCAGTCCCACCACAGTGCTGCTTAAAACGTTCTATTCACTATAAACCCAAGGATAGAATGTTTCTAATATTAGCTTTAAAAATAAACTAAATGGGTGCTGGCCATAACATCCCAGCTGTAGGAGGCATGGGCACTGTGGCCCTGGTGGGCCCCACCTGGAGGTACGCTTTCCCGTAATTATTACTACTAGGGCCAGGCCGAGCTCGGGTATTGGGACTCCCCAGAGAAGGCCTGCCGTGGAATTCAGTTACAGCACCTCAGATCACCAGGGTGCCCTTGGCTACTACAACTGTTGTAGAGATGGCTGGAAGGAAGGGAAAGCCAGCTCACCGTTCCTTAAATGAAAAGGAGAGATTTGTTTATGTATGTATGTATTTGGCTTTTGCCATAGAGCACATGCACTCTCTGGAGAGACAGAAAGTGAGAAATCATCCCCCGTGGGGGATAGCCATGCTGCAATCCCTTCTTTATTCTCTTCCTAGGATTTGGGCATACACACACATGCCTGGTGCAGTTTTCAAGCAGCCAGGTCTGGGATTTGAACCACAGTTGGCCATGTGGGAGTCCAACGCCTTGACTGTCATGCCACCTGCTCACCCCGCCCCTGGCATAAATGTGTTAAATATTCTTATATCAAATATCTACATAATTCAGTTGATCATGGAACTAAGTAGCAGGTAGTAAAAATGATAGATTTAAATGGTTTCCAGGCCGGCAGGTGGCATGGTGGTTAAGATACTGGACTCCTATGTGGCCAGCCATGATTTGCGCCCTTGACTGTCATGCCACCTGCTCACCCCGCCCCTGGCATAAATGTGTTAAATATTCTTATATCAAATATCTACATAATTCAGTTGATCATGGAACTAAGTAGCAGGTAGTAAAAATGATAGATTTAAATGGTTTCCAGGCCGGCAGGTGGCATGGTGGTTAAGATACTGGACTCCTATGTGGCCAGCCATGATTTGCGCCTAGAACCTGGTGGCTTGCTTTCTCACTTTCTCTCTCCCTCTCTGGTCAAATTAAAAATAAATGAAAGAATAAATAAAATTAAATAAATAAATCTTTAAAAATAATAATAAAATTATTGTTTTAGAAATAAATAAATCGTTTCCACATGGTATTTTACAAAATACCCTTAATTTTTAAGTTTTTTTTTTTGGGGGGGGAGGTTTTTGCTATAGGGGACTTACGCTCACCAGAAAGAGACAGAGAAAAAGAAAGTGAGAAATCACACCCCCCCCCGGGGGGATAGCCACACTGCCATCCCTTCTCCTCCATTCTCCTCTTGGGATCTTGGGCATGCACACACGTGCCTGGCGCGAGTTCAAGCCACTGAGTCCGGAACCACAGTCAACTACATGGGAGTCCAGCGACATAGCCATTATGCCAAGTGCTGGTTCCCCTTAATTTTTTTTTTTTGAGAACATTATAAAGTGTAAAGTTTGATTCTATAATGTCATAATCTATTAAAACAATCTAAAAATATTTTAAGTGATAGTACATGCAAAAGTTTGAGAGAGAGAGAGAAGCACCCAGCATGTTTTCAGGCCAACACAGGGGTCCAAACCCACAGCTGGTGGTCCAGCCCAGCCCAGCAGGGCCCTTGAGTTGCCGCTGTGTCACAGCAGCTGGACCAACTTATTTTATTTTATTTTATTTTATTTATTGGAAAGGTTTTTGCTATAGGGTGCAAGCGCTTGCCAGAAAGACAGAGAGAGACAGAGAGACAGGCAGGGAGAAATCATCCCCCAGGGAGAATGGCCACACTGCAATCCCTTTTCCTCCATCCTCCTTTTGGGATCTTGGGCATGCATATGCACCCTGTGTGAGTTTAAGCCACCGGGTCCGGACTCAAACCGTGGTCGACTACATGGGAGTCCAGTGACAGCCATTATGCTAACTGCTGGTCCCATCTATTTTAGAAGCTTAGATGGAGAAGCTAAACAGGCACAGTGGTAAAGCTCAGTGCTCTGCAAGGCTGACACATGTGGGAAGGACCTGAATTTTCTTTTTTTTTTTTTTTTCCTGGAGAGGTTTTTGCTATAGGTTGCATGCACTTGCCAGAGAGATAGAAAGTGAGAAATCACCCCCCGGGGTGATGGTCATGCCCCAGTCCCTTCTCCTCCATTCTCCTCTTGGGATCTTGAGCTCGCACGCACATGTGCCTGACGTGAGTTTAAGTCACCGGATCCAGGACTTGAACCACAGTCGACTACATGGGAGTCCAGTGATATCTATTATGCCAGCTGCTGGTCCCAGGACCCGAATTTTCATCTGAGAGACCCTAGAGTAGTCTGGGCACACGGGCTGACAGAGGATGGGTGGATCATAGTGTCCAAACCCTGTTGGGGGTGCTGTCTGTCTCTCACTCATGAAAGAAATAGAAAAACTTCAAAAATTTGCAAAAAAGATTAAACAATTACTATGTATTGAGTGAGTTAAAATTCAAGATCTGGAAGAGTATTAATCTCAGAGTAGTCAGTCCCTTCTTTGTAAACGAGAAATGGACTTCCAGAGTCCCTGTGAGTACAGAAAGAGCTGATGGAGTAGGTTTCCAACATGCTTCCTTGAGCTGCACCCTGGGCCTGTGACCTGAGTCATTATTTGCCGTGATAGTAAGACAGAAAAATCAGATCTATCCATTTGTTCTTCAGAAATTAACATAATCATCATTCTAGTGTATGAATTAATCACTGGTGAGTTTGGCAAGTATGAATCAATAAATATCTTTGGTGTTTCCCAATTTTGAGAAAAATGTTCAGACCTCAGTTAAGAAATATTAACTCTGAGACATTTTGTTTATTTTAGTTAGAAGGCCCAAGTGGTCGCCAAAGAGAGAGAGAAAGGGAGGAAACATTCCTCGGTGATGTGCCACAGTCCCTTCTCCATCTTCCACCTTGTTGGGATGTTGGGTATGCACACACACCTAGTGTATTTCTCAAGCTGCCCCAGCAGTTGACCATGTAGGGTATGGCTCCTATACTCACAGGCCAAAGGGCCAACCCCATTGTGTGTGTGTGTGTGTGGGGGGGGTTTAGGGGGTTTTTATGAGAGGTTTTTGCTATAAGCACATGTGCTCACCAGAAAGACAGACAGAAACAGAGAGACAGAAAGTGAGAAATCACCCCTCAGGGGGGA